GTGTCAATGCAAAACTGTGCAATACAGCATGGCATATGTTTTTCCTTTTCTGTAAACCTTTTAGTGTGTCTTGTGGAACTGACAGAGTCTTTAAGAAGCTATTTGGAAACAGCAATCAGGGTTTTCAAGAAGGATATTGTCACTGTTTATCATAGTCTGTTATTTCTCCCAGATGGAGAGTGAAACCTCTGAGGCATCAGAAAACATCAAGGCTGGGCCAGACACATATGACTTTACCAGCTGTGGATGTATCTAGGATTCCCCACAGAGACTGGGGCCTCATTATGCTACCAGGCAAACTTACAAGAAGAAAAAATTCCCACCTGCAGAGGACTTACTACCTAAAGACATAAAAGAAGCTAACGAGGCCAGAGGCATGAATATGGTAATCTCTCCCAAATGTTTTTCTCTCACATCTTTTCCTTTCCAATGTTTTTAAGCTCTGCATCTCACCCTCTTTCCCACTTTGAATGACAAGGAGCACGAGCATGTGTCTTTTGGCAGAGCAGATGGTACCTGCGGCTCTCTACGTGGCGCAGGCTGTTATGTGCCTCTAGCTGCTGCTGACAACTCCTCCTCCAAGGTACTTTGTCATGGAGCTGCTATTGATGCCACAGATCCCTGCTGACTGGCACTGGCACAGCCAGGCACAATATTGGGCAGCCAGGAAGACACATGGCAGGTGGCAAAGCCCACACAGAAAATCCGGCAAGCAGAGGCATCTAGAGAGCCTGGAGGATGCTCAGAAGCAACGCCTGCTGAAACTGCAAAGTTTTCCTACTGCATATGAAAGGAAACTGCTGGATTAGCCATGGGCTCTGGGGGTTTTTTTCCCAACGTCCCTAGACTAAACTGGCAATCCCACACCACCGATACACACTGTTGTGCACTCAGGGCTGCAGAGCCCAGGCTGCCCTTTTGCTGAGGGCTGGCTCTGCCTCCTGCTCTTTGGGAAAGGGCTATTTCTGCACAGCTGTGGGAGGCTAGAGACTCCACAAGGCACAAACTGCCTCTGGAGAGAGCTCTGTTCTGCCAGTACTTGCACAGACTTCATCCTTCAGCCTTATCTTGAAAACATCTCCAGGGTTACATTTTCACCCCCCAAGTGACACATATCAAAATTTCAACTGTTCTTTTCACTTACATGGAAATCTCCCCATCCCAAAAAACACAGAATGCAGGACACCATTGCAAGTAAAGATACAGATCTAACTGAGATTGAGCACAACTGAATATCAGAGATAGAAAGGACCTCTGAACCTGCACAGTAAAATGCTCGCAGAACAGCAATGAAGTCCTGCTCAGACAGGCCAGGACCCATAGCTCCATCTCCAGCATTTAGTGTGCTTCAGGTCCATTGCCCCAACCCAAAAAGCAACAAAAACTCAGGAGAATTTTCCAAGTTGGTCTCTGAATCCCCCGCTCCTGGCAATCCTGAATTAGCCCACCCTCTTCACATCCACATTGTTTGTAGGCCTGAACTGCTTCCCCAGAGCCACTCAGAGCAATCACCAGTATCAGCTACAACGTTTTACTTCCTTTGAATTCCCCTTGCAAATTAATCTCAACCAAGCTTTAAGAGGCCATGAAAACATACCAAGTTCAAACACTGCTTGAAGCCTAAGGAAAAAGAGTCTCCTGGCACTGGAAATGTTTGTAAGTATGAATCCAATTAGTCCAGCTTCAAGGCTTTGATGAGAAATGCATTACCTGCACCTCTCTCCAAGAAGTTTGGCCATACCTGTGACACACATATGAGATGAGAGGAATCTTTGTCTGGAGCCAAATCCTGTATTTCAGCCTTGGAAACCAAATATCAGGTATCCAGGAAGATGGCTGGGGGCCTCAGGCACTCCAGCTGACTGAGGAAGAGTCACATGGCATGGGTTTTCAGTGGGGCTGAAGGGTCAGGAATTGGATATAATGCAATCCACTGTGGGCTGTCTCCAGTTCCACAGCACTGTGTGCACAGAAGAGATATGGGCAAGACCACATCTCCAATAAAATTTCAACCTGCCCAGAGCTAGTTTGTGGCTGAATCCTACTACAATGCCTGTTCCCACTCACCAAGAAAGGGTACAGGAAGGGCTTTGCTACAGCTACTCAGCTCAGTTTATACCTCAATGCTTCAGGAAATAAAACCTGTAAGATTCCTCACCCCTAATAAAATTTGAGCACTTCTGGCAAACATCAGTGCTAAAAGGAAAACAGTGATACAATTAATATTGCTGCTCTTCCAGCTCTGAAGTTGTAAGAACCCTCCTTCGCAAGCCCGCTGCCTTTATGAGGATCCCTTCAGAAGCTCTTTCTTCGGCTGGGCTGAACACACTTTCCCTGGCTTCTCCTGCACAACAGACTTCCCACTCCTCTGAGAGCACTGGCAGCCTTTATTTGCACTTTCTTTACTCAAAATCATGTCTGAGTATAGAGGTCAGAGCCACACACAGGACTCCAGGTCTGACTCATGCTCATTTTATGCAGAAGTCCTTCTTTTACAGAAAATCCGTGACTCAATATATCCCTTTTTTTCCATGGCCATGTCATCCCACAGGCAATTCATGCAGCCCACTTTTTCTCCTCCTGTTCCTGTTCCTCCTATGCCAGCCCTCAGGGATATCCACCCTGCTGCCCTGTGCCAACAAAGGGTTCCAGAATAATGCCATCAGGGTAGGACACTAACATAAGATGGACTATTTCATGACTCCAACACTGCATTTTGCTTTTCCAAGACAATCTAGCCTTGATCCCCCTTTCAAGGACCTGTCCAGTATTTATGAGTATCCAAGCAAATTCTGAACTGAACCCCTCACATAAACACAGTTTTATCACTTTATTTGTCTAAAAATCTAATTATCAAAGTACAAGATGCATTTCCCATTTATCCCTCATCCTTAAAAACATACATTTAGCCCTTGGCATAGCAGGATACTAGGCCAGTCTGTAGCTGCCTGGGTCACCTCATTTCCTGCACCTAAGTCCAGGCACTGTATTTCTCTTTCTCTGATACCCACATCCTCCCAAATTCAGAACATTTATGAGAACTTGCCTGCACAGGGGCCTGTCACCACTTCTCTGAGCTTTGAGAAAGTGACTGTGTGCTTAATTTCTCCCGAACACACTTGAGAGCATTCAGATCTTTCAGGGTGGTTTTCCACCTTCTGGAGTGTCATCGTTATCCACTGTGTCTTGCTGATCCTTGTTAACTCCCACTCCTTTCCCAGATTGTCACCATTTCTTTTTTTGATTCTGTCAGGCAACTGTAGATGAAGCTTACCCCTCACGACCCCAGCATAAAGTGAGCTGAGCTATCTGCCTGTGCCTAAAAACAGCCTAGAGGATCAGGTCAGAGGTGTGCACCCAGCACCTCAGTCAACCTCCTAAGATAAAAACTGGGAAAGCAAGACATTAAACCCAAACACCAAACGAGTTAACTTATCAAGTGTGATAACCTTAGGAAGCAAAATGCCCACCTAAGAGACTTAGGCCATAAATTAAAATACTCTCCCATGACTAAGACGGCCAACTCAGCTACCAGCAGCAACATCCACTTCCAAGACTGGAAGATCATTGAAGGTTTTCACTACAAAATTCTACACACCAAAAGAAACATGAAAGGTAAAGAACTTTTCCAAATAATAGTTTGAAAAACCTCCATGCTAAACCATACAAAGCAGTTATCACAAACTAGCAGAGCTGTTTTCAGACTTAATTTAGCAAAGTTTACCATCCTAAACTGTACTTCAAACTGCTTTTGAAATGTATGCCAAGTGGCTACAGGATGTTCACCTTGCTCTATCAAGTGACTGACGAGCATAATGCTATTCCTGAATGTTTGGCCTGTATAGAGATGGTAAAGACACAAGCATACTGATTTCTTGATGGCCACTGGACAGCAGTAACCCTTGGTTACCACTGATACTCTAGTCCAGTAAGCAGGACCAAAGTCATATATGAACTACCATGTCAGCTACAAAGTCTCATTTTCTTTCAATGTCGAATGAAACCCAACTTCCTTTGACACCCTTTCTTTGATGCCCAGTGAGGTCAGAACAAATGAACTCAAAAGACAGCATAAAAGACACTTACACAACCGGTTGGGGTTAACATGTTGTTTCAGGAGATCGATGGAGCCGAGGCTGACAACAAGACGCCTTCCAAACCAGAAGGAGACCAGTGGCCCATATTTCTCATGAAGGTTTACAAGAAACTCATGTAAACTGCTGCTGACAATGATATCTGGCAGGTTGCCATCCCTGAGAAACACAGAGGATATCTGGTCATGAATAGCATCCTCTGCCAATGCTGAACTTCATCAATGTGGAGACAGAAACCACTTACTTTTCATCAGTTGGAGCCAGCCCAGGGATACCTGATGCTTGCCTAGACGCCTAGAGTAAAAGGAAATGCATCAATCTACATGAACTTCAGATTTTATAGAGGTCCCACAGGTTTCCAGGAAGAGAGATGAATTTTCCACACCAATACTCCTACACTACTTACAAACATGAAACAGGAGCTGGGTATGCTATATCTGCAAGCTTTAAACCTGCTAAGCCGATAAAACCTCAACTCTGTGCCTGGTGCCACTGGCTAAACCAGGATTATTCATCTGGTTAGATGAAAGATGTCTGCGTAAAGATTTAAAGGGTCAAGTGTGCAATGTAGGGTATTACACACTGATTTGCCCTGAAGGCCTGCAAAAACGCAAGGCGAGCAGATGATCGCGCCTTTGGAAAGCAGGATTCACTCCCGGAGCACGTAAAGCAGGATTGCGGGGCTGCGCTGTCCTGGGAACGCCCTGCCCGGCAGCTTCTCCCGCAGGCCTCCGCCACGTCCCGCCCGAGCCCAGGGGCTGTGGGACGGGCCCGGGGCTGCCGCGGCCGCTCGCTCTCCGCCCGCCTGCGCCGGGGGCCGGGCCGGGCCGAGCGCCCCCCGCCCCACAGCCGGCAGCGTTACCGGGTACAGGTAGAGCACGGCGCCCACGAGGATGAGCAGGAAAGTGACGGCGAAGATGGCGAAGTCCAGCATGGCCAGGCCGGGGCGGTGGAGCGGCGGCGGCTCGGCCCCACCCCGGGACCGCCGGCGGGGCAGGAAGGGGCGGACCGGGCTGGGCCGGGAGCACGGCTCAGCTCGGGTCGGATCGGCATGGGGGGTCCGCGGCGCCTGCTGCTGATCTCCAACTCCACCCTGCACGGAGGGGGGTACCTGGGCCACTGCCAGCAGCACATCCAGCGCTTCCTCGGGCAGTAAGCGCCGTGCAGGGCTGCGGGACGCGCCCGGCCCCGCCTCCGCCGCGCCGACCGCTCTCTCCCCTCTCTTCCCTCTCTTCTCCCAGGAAGGTGAAGCGGGTGCTGTTCATCCCCTACGCCCTGCACGACCGCGACGCCTACGCCCGCACGGCCAGGGAGAAGTTTGAAAGCCTGGGTAAGGCCGGCCCGGCTGCTGCGGCCACGCCGGCTGTGCCGGGCGCTGCCGGGCCGGCACCGGGCACGGGGAGCAGGGTGCGGGCACGGAGCGGCCGCGGTGCACACGGGCTGGGCTGGGCTGCTGCGGTACCGCCAGCAAGGGCACGGAGCAGCAGGAGTCGGCTGCGGACTTCTGTCTGGAAGGAGATGTTTTAGAGGCCTCCAGAAGAAATCCTGCTGCACACACTTCTGCCCACTCCAGGGAGGAAGATTGTATCCCTAACTATTAAGTGGCATCTTTTTATTCTTCTTAATCACATGAGGGAATATTTCTTCCCATATATCTTCAACCTCTGCTCAAGCCACTGGTTTTAAGTGAAGACCATTACTTAAAGCACATTAAGGAGCCAGATAGTTCCATGATGGACAGCAGCTGAACTTTGCTTGGAGCAAAGATCTCTGCAGAGCAGTCTACAGCAAGACCTCCACCAAGTATCTATCACTGTTTAGGGTAACTTTGGACTCGTTAGTGTAGTAATAATCAGTACTCACTTGCCTGGGCAGCACACTTTGCTCCTTGACTTGCAGGAAGATTGCTGCTATCAAATGCCTATGTTCTTCTGTCTCTCTTGATGCTTCCTGTACTCAGTGAACCCTAGCAAGGGAAATCTATCAAAGTCAGACATTCTAACAAAAACAATACTCAGATTAGGTATTTGCACAAGCAATGCTAGAACCAACACGTCCCGTCAGACTTCAGCATAGCCAAGCTGAGGACTAACAGCTTTTTCCTCATTTTCTAGTCACCTGGTTATGCTCAGCAGGGTATTGTGCCTCAGCCTGCACCTGCTGAGTGAAATGCTCAGCTCCTAGACTCTGAGTGCATATCTCCACAAAATGAACATTTCCTTTTGTGCAGCTGGGTGCTGAAGCCCTGCACTAATATAGGATGTACACTCTGTTTTACGTTGTAGAGTTTTCTGAAATTTCCCCGACTGAGACATTTGGCTCAGGGTTCAAGGAGGTAGGCAGGGAGGCAGTGAACATAACCTATTCTTCCACCAAACTGCCATGGCAAAGGTAAATATTTTTCATTTAAGGTTATGGGCTGGACAGCATTCATGAATCTTGTGATCCAGTGGAAGCCGTAAGGAAATCTGAAGCAATATTTATTGGTAAGTTTTATTTCTTACTCCCCAGTGAAGGTTTTTATAGGGCACTGGATTAGTCCTGCTCAGAGGTGGCACTGAAGACCAACAATTAAACAGTTAGGCCTAGTAATTAGAAACTACAGAAGACAGTAATTGGGAGCCCTAAGACTAAATTTAGTGGTGGGCTGGGAAGTAGATTTATTAATGGAACTTCATCTCCAGTAAATTTCAAATTATTATTTTGAACAGTACCTCAGTGTAAAAATATGATCATAACAGCTGTATCATCACTTTAGCAAGCCCAAGAAGTTCTAGTCGTAATACCACGGTCCTGGGCATTGGAAGAGAGGTCACTGTCAAACAGTGGCAGCCTTACAAGGATGACTCAGGGCATGCCCATGGCCTGCCCAGTGACCATTCTTCTGAAGCTTCTGGTTTTACTGCTTCTCAAAGCAGGATACTGCCCTGAATAGAGCATAGAACTCACAGTGCCTGCCAAGTTTGTAAAGGCTTCAATTAAAACTGATGGTGAAAGCATGTTAAATAAGCTGAACTTCTTTCTGCAGGAGGTGGGAACACATTCCGTCTCCTGAAAGCTCTTTATGACAACAGTTTGATACATGAGATCAGGAAGAGAGTTCTTGAGGTAAAACTACAGATTCTGGCCAAGTCTGAATGGCTGGATCTCATGCATGATCTTTTGTTCATTCAAATCCAAGCTGATTCTGCATTTTTGTCTCTAATATACTTCAGATGTTGAGCCATCTCAAACAGCCTGGTGAACTGAAAACCATGGCCAAATAAGGCTGTTACTGAGTCATTGAAAAGACTTCAGGTCAGCAGTCTGTCTTCCTAGAGCAGTTTTCTAGATGCTGGATTGCAAGACCTTGGGATGTACAATGCTACATAGAACCCTAGAAGTAAATTGCTCAAAATACCAGTCAAAAGACCAGTGCAGGATTTAATCTATGCCCAGAAACCCTGTTTTTCAGCTTGAGATGTCCACTTTATATCTCACTGATATAGATGTGTTGATGTTGCATGTTGTCTGCTAATAAACTGGTGATAAAGTTGGATCCATATGTGCCTTTTAGATAGTGTCCTGTTGTTGAAAATTATATAATTCTTGTATCTCCTTGGAACTGAGAGGTGTGAATGCCCCTCTGGTGAGCAGCACCAGTCTAGCTAGTGAATCTCATAAGGCTCAGCAAAGATATACCATCTCTGGAGGAGGAGAGAAGCAAGGTGTTCCCTAGCAATGTGGAACTGCAAATGACTTTATATAGATTTATAAAAGCAACAGTAAGGCCAGCTGCCAAGAATAAAGGTTAGCTAGGCTTATCTTAATATATAGAAATTCAGTGTCTGTTGTGGGAATGAAAGCCAGAAAACATCCAAATGCCAGTTAAGTCTGGATAACTACCTGGTTATATTATCACCAGTTGTCTGAAGACAGCTCTATTTTTACAAATTGTTCAGCATTACCTATATACTTGCATAATTGTATGGCATTCTTCTATGTACAGCACAGTACTCAGTACTGATAGCTAAACAATGGTCATGGTTCTGGTAAGTTGATGCTGTGACAACATTGCACTGAGCTTCCGATGGCCCACTCTCTTCAGAAGCTAGTTAAAAGCCAGTTCAGATATTTCCTGTAACTGCAATAGAAGCAAGTCTCTCCCCTTAATAGCAAAGTATCAACATGCACTGACAGCCTGGTAAGTTCTCTCTTGGGGGGTCACAGAGTTGTGAGTACAAGGCAGGCAGCAGTTAGTTCTCTGACACAGAGAAGCTACTGCCCACCTCAGAACCTGAATTCTTGTTCTGCTTTTCACCTGTAAAGGTAGCAGTGAGAGGAGCTGGAAGCACTAAGTCTGATGTGACTGATGGGTTTCTGAGATTGATAGAAGATGGTATAAAATTGAGTTCCTAGTTGTGGTGCTGCAGACTGATCATTGCTTTTGTCTTTCAGGATGGGATTCCTTACATGGGATCCAGCGCAGGAACCAACGTTGCTACTGTCAGCATCAATACCACCAATGACATGCCAATTGTTTATCCACCTTCCCTGCAGGCTCTAGGATTAGTTCCTTTTAATATTAACCCCCACTACCTGGACCCAGACATTAAAAGAACTCACATGGGTGTAAGTAAAGCACACCAGAACTAACACAGTAACTACGGTGTGGAGGAGTAAAAATAGTGTGCATCTTTGAGGCCTTATAAAGCTATAGAATGTCAAACAGCTGCTCCCTAGAGAAACTGGAAATGCCAATGAGGCAATAACACTTCACTTCCTCCTAAAACTTAACTTTGCTTGGGAAGAGGAGTTGGCAACAGTATTACTGAACAAAGTGTTTTTCACAAACAGAAGCTCTGCAATGTTTGAAATACTGTTGAAATGCTGGATATCTGGCATGGAATGGGGGAATTAAAAAAAGAAAAGATAAACCTGAAGTGTTAAGATGCAAAGCACTGCAGTTCTGGAAAGTTCTGTCTTACCTGCTGCTTGGGAAGACCTCACTTAAACATAGATTAAGAGGCTTAAGTATCTAAAGGTATGAAGATACAATCAGAGTAGGGAGATCTTGAGATTCAAACAGTCGTGTAAGAAAATACCTGGGCACTGGTGTCCCTGCAGCGAGCACAGCCTGTAATGTCCATTACAGAGCAAGCACATGCACTAGTATAGCTGAAAGAAAAACACTTCGGCCATCAAGCACAAAGACAGATTTCCATACAGTGGGGAGGAGCTCCTTCTTGAAACAGCATGTCAGCTAAATCCTCAGGGAACAATCTGTGTGGTGCATCTTCTAACAACCTAAATACTTTCCTCCTTGTAATCAAAATTCCATGGTTAGAGGAAGTATTAAGAGTTAGGGAACAATGAAGAGATGGTAGATGCTTCTAGATGGGTGAAGAGATGGGTGTGCTTCTAGAATTTAGATGTTGTAGGTATTCATTTAATCAGCTTGTCACTAGATAAGCAGGCAGTCTTTTCTCTATAAATAACTTCTTTCTCTCAGAGGAGGCTGCAAGCCCTGTGCTGTACCAAGTCCCTGCTGTGTTCCTATGTTTTTATTTCTTTACTGTTGCTCAGTTCAGCAGCAAACCTCAGGAAACATGACAGAGCTGTTCACAGAAGGAAACTATTCAGTGTAATACCTACTTGAAGACAAGCAAATACTTAATCACTGAAAATCCATGATTCACTACTTTCTTTCACAAAGGTGGCACCTCAGGCATTTGTTTCTACCATTTTCCTGGAAGTATTAGTACTACCTCTGCACACAGAGATCATACTAATTAAAAAAAAAAATGGATGAATTGAGTGGAACTAAGTTTTAAGGCTTTTTAGGGTTGGGATTATGTGAGTTCTGTTTGATCAACTTGCAGTAAGTTGCTGCTAGTGATGAAGAGTAAAACATATCTATTAAATAGGGTAAATTCTGCCATCCCATTCTGCTTGAGGGGAAGTGCCTGCTTTGTTTAATGTTATGAAATGGTTTGATGGCATGTTGCCTGGATAGATCCAAGTCCTACCTTATGGCCTGGGAAGCTAAATCTGTGCTCATTATTGCAGGAGACAAGAGAGGAAAGAATCCACCAGTATCATGAAGAACCAAACACCCCTCCAGTTCTGGTGAGCAGTAGTTCTCCATCAGGAAGCTGTAGCATGATAAACATTTTAAATGCATTCATGCTGGCTCTCAGTGTGGGTTCCTCGCCTGTCAAGCCTTACAAAACCATGGATTGGAATGCTAATTGTATTCTTGCTAAGAGCTTGAGCCTTGGATATTGCTCATTGTAGAAAATGGATTAGGGCCAATGAAATGCATACTCCTGTTAGTGCTGCTCAACACTATTTTAGGCAGCTCTGATCTTCCCAGTCACTGGCCACCATATACTGGGTGTTGGGGGTGTTGTGCACGCAGATGGTACAAAACTCCCCCTTAATCTTTTTGCAGATACTCTTAACTTTAATCTCTGTAATAGTTTCTGAATTTGCACATTCAGTAGTGTATACATAATTTGATTATGTCTGTCTGGGAAAGTGGGACCTCTGTGTTTCCTGTCCCTGTGTTTGATCTTGTACTATCAAGTTTGTGCACTAACAAACCCAGCTGGCTATTGCTCAATCCAAAGTGGATCTAAGAATAACTGTGGGAAAAAACAGTTTCCTCCTCAATGATTTCTCCTTTAAGAGTAAAAACTGAAATAAACCAGTAAATTGACTTCTAAAACAAGATAACTCACCTATTTTTGTCTTTACCTCTTTGTTAAGTAAGCGAGAAGGTTTAGTCTGTAGTCATGGTGCCACTGAGACTGGCCTGCTTGTGACAAGTATTCTACCCTTTGACATAGCTTGAAAATAATTTTAAATGTTTCCACCTCCACCAGGGCTTGCGGGAAGGTACGATGCTGTTAGTGGAAGGAGATAAAGCCACGCTGCAAGGAGTGACAGGAGCACGTCTGTTTTTGAGGTAAGTGCATCACTTGAATTGATATCCTGCTTCAGACAGAAAGGAAGAGAGGCTTCTATTAGACTCCTGGCACGTGCTGCCTGTCCCCCCCCCCATCAAGTTACTTAATCCCTTGACTCCATTTCTCTTTGGAGAAAATGTGAGTATTGTTTAATGCTCCAAAGGAGACAGAAGTATGACAGCACTCCAAAGGATGTCTGACTAACCCACTGCGTGCTTTGGTGCTGCATCCATTGCTGCTTATGTTTCCAAATTCTAGTTACCTTTCACAGAAAGAGCCCCAATAGTCAGCTCCTTTATTGAAAGCCAGGGAAATGCCAATTTGGCCCTAATGCACTGAACTCCAGAACAAGGGAATCCACATCTAGAATTACATGGACTTTATTAAGAAATCTAAAATGCACATCACATGATGGAATCAAAACTCTGCTTGTTCAGAATAAGGGTGCCTTGATCTATCCCTAGTAACAGATAGAAGCTGAGTAGTCTCACCTCCTATTAAAGCTCACAGCATGGTTTCTCTTGTTTGCAGGGGTAAGAAACCAACTGAACATGAGCCTGGAACAGATTTCAGTTTCCTCCTGACTGACAGCAATCCCTTGAATCCATAGCCTTCCATATTTTGCAGCAAAAGTTACTATATGGGGAAGACAATGAGGAAAAAGCAAAGAGATGCTTGTTGTCCCAGAGTGGGTGTGGTATTTCAGATTTATAAATAAAGATAAATATGCATTAGTGGACTCTTTTCCTCACCCCTATGCAATTGTCAGACACCTCCGTCCCAGCAAAGACAATTTTTATTGCAGTACTTGGATAATCATAGCTATTTAAAGCTTGAAGGGGCCCATACATTCACATGTCCACTTTGATTCCTTCCCCACAAAAAAAAAAAGTTGCCTTAACACAATTAAGACAGGACACTGAGTCAGCTGTTCCTACTGCCTACTCTTACCTGCTACATAAAAGAACTGTTCATTCAGTGTACTCCCACAGTTTAATTTTTGTGCTATTAATAAAGGAAGAAGTTATGCATTCAATTACTTTTATTTGTTTCAGACTCATGTTAAATATATACAATGCTAATTATGTACAAAAGTGTGCATGTTAAAAATTTTCAGGTTACAAACTTGCAAATCCTAGAAAAGTGCAAAATTTTAAAACATCTTCCACCATGCTGTACAGGAAAAAAATCCATCATTAGCCAATATACACACTCTTAAAACACATTGATCAAAACAAAGTAAGACATACAGTATATTCTTAAAGCACCCAGAGGGAAAAAGATATTGCACAGAAGACAGACAGCAAGTTCATTATAGTGCCTGAAGGCTCATTTCTGAAAGTAGCTATTTCCAACACTTCTCAGACCTAACATTTGACTCTGAAAAGGCATTTTTTGGCATTTAAAGATCCATTTGTAATCACGTAATTGCACAATCTGTAAGAATTATCAGAAGATATGGTTAACTTTGCTGTAAGGCCTTTGCTTCCACCCCTGATTAGCTTCAGTAAAAATTCATCAGGCAAACTGAGTAGCATCACAGCTTCCATCAAAACACTGACCAAAGGGAGGTAAGTCTCACATGCACAATTTCTCTAATCTCATCCTAAGTTGCTCCTGCAGAATCAGAATATGTATTGCATGCTTTTCTTAAATGCTTTTTCCCCCCATGGCGTTCTTTAAGAAACAGCTAACTGCTGCATATGACTAAAGTAGTACTGTCAGGTGCAAGACTTAAGTTTATTTTAAAGCTATTTCAAGGCAAAAAATATGGCTCCCTTGAGAGGAAAATACTGACTAGATAGGAAGCTAAATAAATAAGTAGCCTCCAAGTTCAGTTAAATCTATGATATACATGGCTGGATGTTTTATATTCCAATCTCAAAACACCCTGGCAGCTTTAAACCATAATCTATACTGACAATCATGCTTCTGGGACACAAGATGTGTGATGAAATTATGTCTGTGCTGAGTATAAGCATAGATCTGAACTCTGGAAATACCTGCCAAATCTCTCAAGTCCACTGGACAAAACTAGGAAGCGGACACACTGAAGGAGCTCTATTGAAAATAAGTGAAACACCTATTTTATTTGGGCCACATAGGTAAATGTTAACTAAAAGAAAGACACACCAGTCTTCCACAGGTGCACAGCAAAAAGGTGAGTTAAAACTGAACAAAGGCTACCTTGGACTAAACACTGAAAGCAGTTCCTCACTTATGGGGTGTTCAAGACTGCAGTAAGGTGAATGGAACTCATCTGAAATGCAGAGCATGCTACGGTGCCACTCAAGAATTTTTACATTCAGGCATCTGATATCCATAACACTGAAGAAGGGAACCAATAGCATTTTACCAAATTTAATTTTCTTTTTTTAATGCAGTAGCTTCTTAGAAAACTTCCTTCAAAAGTATGTGCTTACAAGGGCAATTTAGTAATAAGATTGGCTCCTTGGAATGAAAGGCATCTTCCAAACACTTCAGTTGACTCTAACATTGGCATACAATGAACCCACATGTATATGATACCATGGAAACTTGCTCTCCCCAAAAGGACACTACCAACAAGTGTCATGTTTGCAGCCAAAATCAACACAGCTTTTAAGCCAGAAAGCATAAAAATACCTAGAAAGCACTGAAGCACATGCTTGAATTTCCATTCAAATAAATACAACTCTGTGTAGTGCTTTCACATAACAGTATTTATTAGATCAGGCCCTAGGCTCACTTTAGGGTATGCATTTAATGTGCACGCTTTTTTAAAATTCTTTGAAAGGGAAAAAAAAATATTCACAGCACCTCAGCTCAGCATTTACCATAGTCAGCAAGGTGCCTTTAGCAGTGGAAGACAGGAATGTTTCAAGTGACAATACAGAGCACGTGTCTACAGAGACTCTCAATACAGGAGCAGAAGGAGGTCGACATCTCTACACCCCTTCTGGCTCTAAAGCTCCCTACCATTCTATTATCTGTATATAGATACACATTTTCAACTAATCACACATACACAGTAAAAGCTTTGTGCAGCATTTGGTTCCTTTACTTAACTTTTCTAATGATTTTGATAATTAAGACTGGGAAAGGTTTGCAAAGGAAACATGGAAGAGGAAGACATGGTTTAGGGAAGTGAGGTATACAGCTCCCATTGACTAAAACAGTTACCAAATCTGTGCATTACAAAAATAAATTTATCATTCTTGCAGGACTATTTAAAGAATTTTTCCTTTAGTTCTTAGTTCTTTGCACTCATTTAAAGGACAAAGAAATACAACTTTCAAGGGAATCCTTATAAGACAGCCAATTGACTTGGCCATTTAAAGCCTGTGAAGACTGATAAACCTGTTTTGGGATAATATACATGATCTAAGACATGCCATAGGGGAAAAAGCTTGTTTATGTCAATGTTGCAGATTAGTAAAACAATTGTAATATTGATGTGGGTGAGTTTGGTTATTTTTGAGGGGAAGTTGTGAGAGTTGGGGGTAGTTTTGTTGGTTTAGTTTTTTTCTTTTTTTACTCTTTTTAATATCAAACAATTATTTTCCTAAGAACACCTAATTTCCACAATGTGTCTTAACCACCAGGACAAATGCAGTTACTTCAGGACTGGGATTATTGTGTTGTGCTGGTAAGGTACATGGATGATAGAAGATGTGGTTTCTAGATATTCTATGAGCAAGTAATGGATAAGTATATTGGTTACAGAAAAATCTGCCTCAGTCAGATGCTAACTTGAAGAGCATTTCACTTTCTGTATGTTTGTATAGTTCAAACCCAGCAAAGACTAGATGGGATTCTTCACTCTAGCTAAAAAGACAACTAAAAATACTATTAATAATTATAAGTAAATTGATTTAGAGAAATTTAACAAACCTTCTAATTGAAATAAAGGAGACATGTCTTCTAAATATCCTTTGGTACGCAAGTTCAAAACTGTGCTACAAAGAAGTTAATACTGCTAACTACTTAATCTCATCTGTATACAGGTATGAAAATTAGGTCAGTTTTCAGTTTCTTTTAGATATATATATTTACACTCCAACTTACTCATCTTCAAAGGTAAGCATATGTTAAACTTTGATAAATATTATTAGAGTTGTTCCAAAACTTAAACATATGAAGATATCACAAAGAAGATCTTGACAAATGTAGTGCTGTGAAATAAATTTCACTTAGGACTTGTTTGTTCTAAATTCTTCATTGGAATACTGTAATCTCAAGACTTTACTTTTTACATTTAAAAAACCTTAGAACAAAACCAAATGAGAATCTTATTTCACCAATACTACCTGAAAAACAAAATGGGATCCTAAGCTTTACTGACTGGAGGAAATCAAAGAATTATAAAAGTCAGTTCACCAATTCACAGTGCATAACAGGCTTCAAGTCAACTGACTAAACAGCTGATCAGAAGAATTATTTTCTATTTTTAAACATTATTGTCTACTTTCTATGCAAATAAGTTAAACCTAAAAGAAACAAGATACCAGCTAATGCTCACACTTAACGACTCTTTTATTTAAAGCTGGTTTCAAACAAAGGCAAAGTGCAGACCTTCACAGCCATGGAGGTCCTTCCAGATGGCCTCTGGCAAGGATGCCAAGCTGTAATGGTGTACACCTCCCACCCCTAAGGACCAGATCTCAGATCCAAAGGCCATGGATGTTGCCATTCTACCTGAGGCATAAAGCAGCAGCTCAGAGCTCACCCGCCCCCTCCTCATTCTTCTGCTGCTGCTGCTTTGTACTGAGCACAGACCAGCCTTGAGTTTAAGAGCCTATGAACTGTCCACATTTAAACCTGTCCAAGGTATTTGTGATGATCACCCAGTGCTTGTGATGCACTGAAATTATGGTATTCAAATGTCAAAGGTCTTAATCATAAATAATTTCAACTATTGCAACATTATGTTTTACTTAAACGGACACACTGTATTCATTATTCTTTAATATTGAAAAATGTTAATTCAGCTGTTGTATAAACATATCTAACCCACAATAGGGTGTTTTAAAATGTGTATACAAACCCCTCTGTGCAAGTGACAAGAAGCAAACTGTGCTCCCACCAAATACTACATAAGCCCCATCTCTCCCTTTTTCCACTTCATTCTCATAGCCTAAAACATGGTAATTTCCTGCCCCCTTCCCCCCCAAATAAACACTTAGCCTTGTCTATGCATTTAAGCACAACATTAATGCATACCTACAAAACCCGTCAATTCAATGCCCCAACTGAGTATTTTCAATCTCCCATAAGACAGAAAGATCTCACATTCTGAGCTGAAATACTATTAAACTACTCTACAAAGAGCTCCCCTGAAATCCCTTCTTCATGAAATCATCATGGACAAACATACTTCACATTCTCATGAACAAACTTAATACTTCCACAGTATCCTTAGTATTCTTACTGGATAGGTAATTGATTAAAAATAGTATTTTTCACTTCTCTATAGCTTATTTGAAAATATGCGATGTGGGTTAATTTACATTTTTTTACATACATGAAAAAACCCACACCACTCTACTTTTGGAAGCTTAATCTTCTCTTGGCAAGCGACTCAGGAAAATTATTCCTATTTTCTCTTAACTTTCCAGACAATCCAGTCTGTCACAGTGATTAGGCAGAATATTGCAACTATGCATAGACCCACTTGTTCACTGATCTGATTTATTATTTCATTTACAAAAGTTAAGAAAATGCAACACAGCTTACTTTACAATCAGTCATC